TGTACTTATATCTGTATTCGAGATAGTAGTAAGTCACTTCTTGTTTCATCTTTCTATTCGATCTCACCTTTTTAGTTTTTGTCTTTTTCTTTTAGTTCTATCTTTTCTCTTTTCTGTCTTTTCCGATTTGTATTTTAATTGTACTTTTTATATACCTTAATAAAAGTTTTATTTTAAAAAAAAAGGAAATTTCAGGTGCATAGACTGGACTAGGAAGAAGTCAATGACAAATTCTTTGTATTGTTGCAAAGAAAACAACATGATTGAATCCAGATAGCCATCACTGTTTGAGTTCATCTCAGGGGAGTCTTTAACTTTTATAACTGTATCAGTTTTATAACTAAAAATGCAATAAAATCAATCTGCATATGAAAAGGATTCCCATATGGTTCAAGAGAGCATTGACTAATAATCAATTCATTAGTCTTGCATCTCCCTTCCCTTCTGTTATAACCATTGTTTCTTATACCACATAGTGTTACATGCAGCCCTGTATCACCTGTAATATCACCATATTACAAGATATTCATAACGTGACACCACAAGAAAGACATATGATCCATTTCATATCTTCCCTTAATGCAAGAATGTACAAACTAAAGCCTGAAAGTTGCATGAGGCCCTTTTCCTTGGATGCAAAGATGTCTTCCATGACTACACTGCTGAAATTCAAAATCAAACCACAAAGTTATTTTCCCCCAGTAAAATAGGCCAACCCATTTAAATCTGAAATGGCAAAATGTCTATCCCATTCTCACCATCTATGAATAATTTCCATGTTCAGTAACTTCCCTGAAAATTTCTTTTAAAATGTATGATCTCTGCCTGAGAAAGATTTGTCCCTTCTAGATTGAATGCACGAGGGGGTCAAAGCTGGGTTTCCTGCCAGCTAACTATTTGGAGCTACTTGAAGGATCTGACATGCATATTTATGTCTATGCTTAGAGCTTCTACATTGGAGAGGGGCATTGTTATTTGTCCAGGATCCCTCTTCATATGGGAAAAAAAATCTATATATACTTAAATATGTATATAGTACAACTGTGCATGCTTTAAAAATGTTTTGGGACAGGTACTTTGGAACAAATGGAACTGCAAGCACAGCACTTCTTCAAAACAGCCATATTTCTTTCATGCTTCCATGCAATCCTGAAAAAAAGATGCAGATGTTTTAATGAATTGACTCATTAAAGCAGACTGTTTTTCATACAACTCATTAAAGCAGTCAACTCATGCAGATGCTTAAAGAAAGAGATGCTATGTTCATGCTCCTGTGCATTCCAATTCAGTGTTGGAAACAAACAAAATAAACAACCATGCTTATTTTCACTGAAAAAAAAAAGACATTATTTCTAATTCTAGCTGTCTGAGATTTCTCAAGATGAATGACAGTTTCATGGACATCAGTTGAAAATATGCTTTCCCAAATGGATTATGTCTACTATGTACTATAGTGACACTTTTGGCTCTAAAATGCAGCAATAACTTTTTCTGAAATTTCTTCATTCTGCACCAAGCACAATTCTTGTCTCTAATTTTTTATGTGTGTCACCATAACAAGAAGTTTTTAAGGTTGGATAACTATAGTAGATTTATTATTTTGCTTTTTACTTGCATAATAATCTCCCAATTTTATCCATAAATTGCTTTTTAGAAATCTGACTTCTCAGTAGGTTTATTTCATTTTCAGATTCCAAAAAAATGATTTTCACTGGCTTAATCCACATTTCAATTTGAGAAGAAAACCTAATCTACTCACTACTGAACTTCTAAGTTACATTTCTTTTTTCTCATGCATGGACTGCAAGATAATTTTCCTGCATAGGCACATAAAGATAATACTCTCTTTATGTTGTATAAATTATGCTGTAATAATTGCATAGTTCCTACTGTTTTATCCTTATGTAGTTTTATTCAGATAATATTCAATCAAACAAAAGTATTATATATGAACTCAAATACTCTCATATGAAATTCTATTACATTTTATGTATTGTATAAATTATGAGAAAATCTCATGTTGAATACCTATTACATTTCTGTGTTGTGATACATCCTTATTTTAATATTTGAAATCATACTGTGCTTTCCTTTATATAGCACAATCCTATTTGTGCAATTGAGAAATAAATCCCATCATGTTTGGAGGAGAATATGTTTGTGTAAATGGAAACAAATGTTGAAAGTGACCATACATCCTAGTTTTATCTTGGGGGGGTTGGGCATAAATCTTTTTTAAGTTTTATGAATTTTAAGTCTGAACCCTAAATATATGCCCCCAATGAGTCAGCATGGGAACACAATTGTATGTATTGTTCTGTATAAGTGCTTTTCAGTGGTTATTTTACAGCAATTGAGTGAGTATTAATGTGAAAGACCTGAGGATTTAAGCATTCCCCATATAACACATAGGTTAAGGTAAGCAATCAGTGACCTCTCCAGATGTTACATTCCCAGATGACTGGTCAAGCTGGTTCAGCTTAGTTCAGCAATGCTGAGCATCTGGTGACTCAACCCAAATACATTAAACAACTTCAAATGGAAAACAATTTGGAATGATAAAATACACTTAAGAAAGTTTCTCTACAGCTTTTGAATTGTGGTGGCTTGTTGTTATGGACAAATCACTGCACTGTTCAATGCTAGTCAGAGTGATTCTGTATTTGGAGCCCGGCTGAATGTAAGCATACAAGTTGGAATACAAAGCAGATTTTTTTTGCCACCGATCATCAAGCAGATCTAATGTTTCTGCTCTTACTAAAGGAACACAACTAAAATTGCTACAAATTAGGGCTCCAGCAGATCCAGAAATATTCCTACTCAGTTCTCAAAAGTTTTCTGGGCTACCAATGACAAGAATAATACAAGTAATAGCCTTGTGTCTGGATACTTTCCATAGGTGTGAGTCTCTACAGGTGGACTACAAATGAAGAACCATCTGATTGATATTTTAGAATCCTCCCATAGGATAACAAATAAGTTAAACATTATATTAGGCTACATCAGTTGGAAGGCAGAACTCATTTCTGGAATACTAATCCTAGGAATGTTCATGAAATGGAAAATATGTTCTGAGTTTGGAAGAAAGGACCCCAGTTAGAACAGTTCATCAAAATGTTCTGAATTGGCTATGATGCAATGAAACAACATTCAAAACAGCTCAAAATTTGAAATATTTTGAGTATTCTAGCTTTAGGAAACAATAGGAATGCAGGTAGCCAGCAACGACATGGGATGTGTATGAAGGTAGACAGGCCTTGGCCAAAAAGCTAAAGGTGGGGTAAAGGAAAAGGGGATGGCTGATTCCCACTACAATGCACAGGTATAAGTTACTAATAAAGAGACATGCAGAACTCCCTTTAGTGTGAGCATTACTGAGATGTTGCTCAGAAATTGGAGAGTCATCCAGGTGAGTCTTACAGGTTCTTCATCCAGCATGACCATCAATCAGGTGCTGCTCAGAGTCTAATGGAGAGACACTCAGGGGAGCTTCATGGTGAATCCACTCAATGCAAGTGTCTAAAGTGACCCTCAGGGACTGGAGAAGCACCAACATGAAATACCCAGAGTCTCCTCTATTTGGTGTGCACCTCTTCATGACATGAACCAGGGACTCATCCCAATTATGATGTGCTTGAGTGAGCCAGTGAATGTGAAATAGGCCAGCAGTGGATAGGGGGGAAATGCACGTCCTTTTAAACTACAAATGGGCTGAAAGGAAAATTGGAAGAGGAATCTTCCCTCTTTCTTTCTAACTACCTACCTGATTCAGCTGCTTAAAAATTAAGAATAAATCCCCAAACTATGCCCATTTGAATTGAAACAGCGTAGAGAAAGCCAGGCGGGTTCATACATACCAACTCTTGCAGTAGAAGCAGCAGTGGCAGTGGTAAATTCAGCCTAGTCACTGGTCACTTGCCACAGTCCTAAACTTGCTTTTACCAACTGCAGTCAGAACCAGAATAACTCCCCCTCAGCTTTATGTTCTGCTTACATACCTGCTCTGCTTTTCCCCAGCACTATTTTATAGGCCAAGGCAAGATTTAAAAATAAAAGATAAACATAAAAACGACAAAAAGGAAGGTAATATTCCATCACATTGCCTAGAACAGCTCAGCACACTCCAAACAGTGCCTGAAATGGCCACCATTTGTCCTGGATAAGGAGGGAAAAAATGACCACATTTTGTTTTATTCTCAAAGAACCTTTTGCAACAATTTTTAAAACTTCTGTTTCAAGAATGGCATGTTGGAAACAGCTTGCACTAAAACCATTCTATGCACTTTTATTCATTGGTTGATTTTTGACAATATGTTGTTTGGTTCCTATTGTAGCATTTGAGTGAGATATGAATATGATAATAAATCGCAGGATTTTATGAGAATTTACAAAGGTGGAAGAGTTTACTGCAGATATCGAGTTGCTTTTAATGGAAATTTCATGAGTTTTGAACAAAAGGGATTTATGTTGGCAAAATGTAATGATGAAAATAATATCAGCGACAAAGAGAAACCATTTATTTAGTACATTTCATGAACCACAAAGATTGATTTAATTCTAGAGTAGAAAATTTCCACTTATTTTCACCTCAGTATTTCCCTGCAGACCTCCTGAGTGAATTAAGCATTTAGATGCCAGGACAGGATTGAAATACAGTTTCATAAGATAAGCCTGAGAGAACTATATGCTTTTCCTAATATGGAAGATGGGTCTAACTGTCCCACCTAAAAGCACTGCTTCAGTGTGAATGTGAAATAGGTTTACATGAATAATATTCCCTGCAATTAAATTTATGAGGAAACCTATGTTTACGATAAATTGCCTGTGGATCCTACCATGTGATGGGCTTCTAGAAACATTCTGTACTAGTTAGCTGGCAATCTAGAGTGCCAAGCAAAGGGGAAACCAGCTAGAATATAAGCTACAAGGCATCACTCATTTGTAGCAAGGAATAGGTCCTCATTCTACTAAGCCAAATTTAGAATGCAGAGCCTCCAGCATCCAGCAGAAACCTAATGAATCACTCTCTACTTCAACCAACAGCTAGCAAGGCATTACAGTTTTATACCTGACATTGTAGAGTGGTATCTTCTCTGCTGTAGGTTTTGGTGGCAGAAAGAAATAGTCCTAGGGCAGCTGATAAAATGGTGGAGCTATGCGTGTGATTTCCTTATCTAAGAAGGATGAGAGCCAAAACCAATGAGGCGTGAAACTTTACTTCTTTTTAACAGATGCCACAGAGAGAGGTTCTGAGTTTGATCACAGCAGGTAAAATGTTTGGGGCACTTAACAAACACACTGAATAGATACAGTGTTGAATTACTGCTGTTTGACAGGGTCTTTTTGCCAGTGGAGACAGTTTTGTTTGCATGCAAAGGGAAACAACTGTATGAAATATCTTTCACAAAAATTAGAGGGCTAAAATCCTGGTAACTGTTTACACCAATTTTTGAAGTTTCACAAATATAATTCTTATAAGAAATTAACATGTTGCTTGAACTATCTATATGTCTGGTTGATTAATAGGCAAATACTTGAAATAATTTTAGATTTCATAAAACTATGAATTTTTTTTTAATGAGTTTCATTAGAATGATCTAAGGATGCTGTGCAATAAATTAAGTCTTATGGACCACAAATGGCTTATATATTGCCCACCCCATTCTTATTGTAGAAAACATATATATGACATTGATCAGAACAGAAAGAATTATCCAGCTCTATATCTGAACAACAGTCAATATGGTATGAGACTTACCTGCAAATTTAATATGAAACTTATTTTCAGGCTTCAATATCTGAACATACAGTGGACAATTTGGAGCAAAATCTTTAAGTGCCCAAGCTCTTAAAATGGTTTGATGGTCCTAGAATAAAATAAAAAACACCACATAAGAATGTTTAAGATAAGATATAAAATTAACCATATTAATTAAAATAATTGCTCATGTTTAGCTGACAATGTACCATTTAAAAAAAGGTAAAAACAACCTTTATTGGACATATGGTTTTGCAAGGAACAAGACCCTTTTAGTTTCTAGTTTCTATACTTTAAACAATTTTTCCACCATAAGAATATCCCATAGATGTTGTGCCAATTATAGCAGAATTCATAAGTAAATATTGCTGTTAAAAATAACACAAAATGATTCAGACCAAATTTTCCCTTAAATGCCTTTAATGACTTACAATCTGGGCTTCTGGAACCTCAGGTAGACCATGAATGTTTCCAAAGTAATTTGGGAATCAGACATATCTTACCCTTGCAAACTTCCTTTTTTATCCATATTTAACTTACATAATGCATTTTTTAACATTATTATCTCTATATGGGCACTTTTAGATAGGACAAGATTTGAACTGGAAACCACTGTCTTATAGATTCCATTATGTAAGGCTACACTGTTAAATGTTTTATTATGATGTCTTCTTTGAAGAGAAATTGGTCTGCATAACCAGTCACACAGCTTTCATACAAGTAGGAATCCCAATGCAATGCAATGACAAACCAGATTTGCAGCAAGCAATGATAGTTTTCTGCAGTTTTTACATACTGCCATATAATCAACTACTAGTGATGTTATATCCAATGAAAGTGAGAAAGCAAAGGCTTGATCCCAAACTCTATTATCCTATCCTATCCTATCCTATCCTATCCTATCCTATCCTATCCTATCCTATCCTATCCTATCCTATCCTATCCTATCCTAAATAGCTGAAAAACTCAGCAGAAAATATTCTTGTGTGCGAGGAAACATCCCTTTGTTGTATGTTTTCTGGTACATCATCTCCACACATCTGATGCTCATGAAGCAATGATTATAAGCTGAGGAAATATATCGTTAGCTTAGGAATTAAAAAAAAAAATGGAAGAAAATTTTTTCTGCTGTTCAGTCACAATGCCTAAAGCCTCATAACACTGAACTTAAGAACTAGTTACTACAAATTTATATAGACTCAGTTCAGAAGAATGAGTAGCTACACTTAAACAGTTGGCCTCTGAAAAAAGTTATTGTTTGGGGTTTACCTATCTACACACAGAGGAACACACACACAAAGAGAGATTTACATATACCTGCATAATAAAAACACATTGCTAAGTATTTGGAATCAAAACAGTTTTAACAGATAATTTTCACACGCACACATACACTCAAATGGAAATTGTTAGAATTATCAATAGACTAATAGATCAATTAATTCATTTAATTTTATTTTATTTTTAAAAAATCTTAACTTTCATTTCAGAACCCTAAAATCAGTTGCTCTTAGCAAACATAAAGAGCTTGACTGAAAAGGTCTATTATCAAATCACACAATTTCAGCACATTAAAATGTTGCTTAAAAAAAATGCTTCTAAGACATTATTCTTTTGAGCCCCATATCAGTCTTTTTATATTTTTCAATTGTCTTCTGAAAAGTACAAGTGAGAATAATTTACAGGACCTAATGATCCTAGGAAATGGAATGGATTGTCTAGTCATAAAATTGCTAGGGTAAGAAAAGAGACAAAAAGAATAGAATAATTCATTTATATCTGTGATTCAGCAGATAAGAAAGACTTATATGGTCTGATACAGAAAGCAACATTTCATTTGAAACATTGATGGTAATTAATACTTTCAAATTAACAGCATTATTACTTCCAACAGAAGCAGGATAAAGTATTTTGGCTTAGAATTAAAAACAGCGTAGCATGGCTAAATTCCAGGATTTTGAAGTCTTCAAGCAAGAAATCATCATGGATTCGGTTGACTAGTAAACTTCTGTTCATTCTCAGCTGAGAATTATAAAGAATAATAAACAATCAGAGGGGGGTGTTTTCAAAACAGCTTTAGTGGTGGGGAGAAGGTGGTTTATATTGAAATTTTCTTGCTGAGCCCAAATAAATGATGCTTGAAACTGAACATTGCCCAGTTTCTGTGACAGCTGACATTTAACTCCTCCAGAGCATTTCATGTTATCCTTCTCATGTAGTATTGGGAGGAACTGAGCCACAATGAGTTACTTACTACCAGTGTAGTATTAAGATGGGTTTGGAATACTTCTCATACATCTCTGTTGTTCATAGCTTAAGCCCTTGGATCTTATTAATGTATAAAAACTTCCCCTATTTTGTACCTTTTTGCTTAATAGCCCTGAAGATTATGATAAGTGCATCGAGCTAAAGTACAGTTGCTTAAAAACCAGAGCATCTCCTCTGCCTAACCACAGCTTATATGGACAGATATTGTGGAAGTAGACATTAACATCATTTTATTCTAACTGGTTGAAGAGAAAGTTCCTTCCAAGCAACTTGTCCTGAGAAATATGTAGTTCACCTAAGAATACAGAGCTGACTTAACTTCAGACTGTTCAAGAAAACAAAGTATCATACCTGTAGTCAAACAGGCTTTTACTAGAGTAATATCCAGTAAGCATTTCTCTTGAAATCTTGAAAACCTGCTGATAGTCAGCAATAGCCTACATGGACCAACAATTTGATTTGATAGAAGACCGCTATTCCCACAGCTGTATCAATAATAATGCATTAAAAATTTAAAGAAAATGCATGATCCAACAAGCTTCTCCATTCCTCTATTCCTTTTAAATTTTTATAGATTCCCTTAAAAACCTCAGGAAATATAGGAAATGCATACGTATAATTTATTAATTTCAAAATAGCATTAAATAGTATAAAATTTCTCTTTAATCCTTGATTTCATGAAATAATATTGATTAGGTAATTTCCAATATTCTAATTTAGCTGCTTTTCAATTCTCTGTGTTCTTTATTAATTTCTTGTGACCTACCATTTAGTCATCATTTTGTAACTATTTTTCTGAATTGTCATATAAAAAAGAGAAGCTATTTCTGGATGACCCCAAAGTTCCTATATTTTCAGATGAATATTGCCTCCAATGACATGCTCATTTTACCATTTTTTAATCATCCCCTTTGTATTCATTTCCTAATAACATTGGGAGAATTTGAAAAAATTCTCATTTTCATTATTTTCTCAATTTCTCTGTTTCCTCTCAATTTTCTAAAAAAACAGTTGCTATATAAATGTTGTTCTTCATGATTAGGTCTTTATATCTCAACACATTGTCTTCCCCAGCAATATTTTGGAAATCTATTTTTAAAATTAGAGTTATCTAGAATTTAGATTAACAATGATTTAACATTTAATGATTTTCAAATCCTGAAAATATGGTGTATCAAAAAGTTTTACTTCGCTGGCACTATTCTTTAGTTAACTTCAATTCATACTGAAATTATGTCCAGATATATCTAAATGATCATCCTCTTATCTCACTGCTTGAGAGAATAGATATTTTATCTATTCAAATGATACATATTTTGCTTGGCTTTTCTCTCCCTATAATTGACATCCCTGTTCTAAACATATAAAGCATAGACATACATCTCCCTCCCTTACACACACACACACACACACACACACACACACACACAAACTACTGTTAGTCCAGATCTGAGGAGACCCAGGTAGAAATCATACTCTTCCAGAGAAGCTAACTGGGTAAAACAATGCTAGTCACTGTCTTTCAACAGAACTAGTCTTACAGGATTGTTATAGTGGGGATAATATTGGAAGAACTAGAACAATGTATGCCATACTGAGCTCCTGGGGAAAGCTGAGATAAATTTAATAAAAAATATATATACACAGTGTGTATGCAATATATATATATTTACTCTTTTAGACAGTTCTCCTCTAATTTTTTTTTTTTTTTTTAGTATTGCAAAAGTTATTCTCAACACCCAACAAATTATTCCCAAAGATAAACATTAAAAATGGTGCACTTTTTCTTTGAAAATCAGGCATTCCAGCTGCTTCTAGATTAATGTTTTCACCATGGTTATTTTACAAACGCTAACCCTGACAATTGGAAGTCTTTTCAAGTTTATGATTTTTGTCAAGGAAATAATATTGTAAGTGAAATCCTGGGAGTAAAATAGCTGCATTGTTGAAAAGGTCTTTAAATATAAGATTTAATCAATTCACAATCATCCATATTTCTTCAATAATTTTGCACTGATTCTGGTTAAGGAAGTATTTATTTCTTCTTAATGTGTGATTTTGGGGCTTTATATGATAGCACTAGAATGATGCAGCTCTTCTTTGATTCTACTCTCACCCCCAGTGCTAAGTAAGAAAAGATAGCTTCTTTGTATGTATGTATGTGTGTGTATATATATATAGTAGAATGGGTGGGTTGAATTCACTGAATGGATATGTAACTTTCTGATTTAGACAACATGGGGTTTCTAAAGATTTCCCAGAAATTAATTAAGATTTATAATACTAAATTACTGCTGCTCAGCAAAACAGAAAACAATGCTGCTGCTATGTTGTTATTGTCTATATTGTGCATGTTTCATTTATGCTCACGATGCATTTTGAATAATTCTGTTTCAAAGGAAACTTTAAAATTTAACAAAGAAGATGGCCTGTTTTCAGTCAAATTAATCAATGAATCTTTACTGTTGTTGTTGCTTTTTGGGGGGGAGGGGGGAGATAGTGAGCTCTACATGAAGCTATGATTTCTTTTTTCAGTAAACAAAAATGTCTTCTTGTAAAAGTAGACCATTTCCAAAATTTGACTAACCAAGCCAAACTTTATCTCTTCAAAGTTAAAAGTGGAGGTTTACTTTATCCTCATACCTCAGCATATTTTAAGACAGTGTAAAAATAAAAATTGCCCACTTACAGTGGGCCATTCTTCAGTGGCTGACATTTGGGGGGGGGGGGGGAAGGGGATTCAAGTTCTAGTAGAAGAAGCCAAACCTAGAACAGTGCCATACTTAGAGAAGCAAAGAGCAGCATTTACTAATTCTGCTACAATTCCCTATCAGAACAGACGGAATCATTTTTCTGCAGCAGAGGCAGATTGGAAGGTAGCAAGGGACTGAACAGTAATTTGTGCAAAACACCGTTTACAGTCAGCCTGGGCCTTTGGATTCAAGAAGGCCATATGACTTGGTTGATTTTGCAGTATACAATTGTACAACAAACAGTGCCAGTTTATTTAAGATCACTATTTGAGCAATTTTGATTCTGTCTCCTGGCCCCAAAGCAATCCTACCTATTCTCATCAATCCTCCCAAACTGTATGTACTTATAAAATCTCTCTCACAGGCATTTATTCCATTCATCAAACAATGAGTATATGATCCATGAAAGTATATACAATAATAAAATTAGTATTTAAGATTTCACAAATATCTCTCTCCTCTAAAAGACTAATAGTTACCTCTTTAGATATTATTTAATTTACTTTTCATGACACTCTAATAATTCTCACTATACTTAACATGGGAATAAACTAGAAATTCTCCTTTGAAATCATAGCCACATGTATCTGTGATATCTGTATCTAGCCCTCTCTGTTTTCCTGATCAGCATAATAAATACTATAAAAATCCAGCTTTCCTTGTTTATATTATTTCATATAAATCATCAATATTGTCATCATTGCCACCATCACCACCACTGCCTTTAGCCTAAATTCTAGCATCTAGCCTCTTGATTCAGAATAACACTGAGCGATTAGACACGTCACTAGTGGAGAACTGAATGAATTATTTAAAATATAAATGTTCATGCTTTCCTTCAATAAAACTGTCAGAGCAGCTTATGATAAAGTAATATAAGCAAAGAAAAATTGATAGATATAAAACTTATAGTAATCAAATGGATAATACAGCCAAAAGCAGCAGTTAAAGCAACAATAAAATCCAGTGTAGTTGATCAAAGGGTTTTGGTTAGGTCAGGAAGCAAATTGCAATGATATGATAACAAGTCTACTGTGAACCTTATGCTTTCTCTCAGTTATCAATGATATGACACCCATATAGTGTCATTTCACCACTAATACAGTATTTTTTATTTCTTTCCAAATGGGGGAAACATCTTTCAATCATGATGGGTTTTTGTGTAACCATGACCTTTCCTTTTGGTTTCATCTATTTCTTCTGTACTCAGCCAAGTGAGACACAGAAGAATCAAAAGAAGACTAGGGGAGAAAGACATAATTTATGACCAGCAATTCAGCTGAAGTTCTATTTTCCTGACCTAAGTGTAGAAGTGACATATATAGCAAATTAATACCATAAAAAGGGGGAAGCGTTAGTACAAGCAGTGCCGCCACGACAAGGCCCTTCCCCGTAGGCACTGATTATAGAGGAGAAAAAAGAAAGATTGAAAAATGATATTTGGCTCAAGTGATACAGCAAGGTCTGGTCTTATAATTTTTTCTTATGATGGATGTGGCATATGCCAGGGTTCCTTCCTGTATAAGCATTACCCAACTCCTACAGAAATTATGACTGCTACAGAAACCATACATCAATATGTTGCTGGGGATACAATGGACAAGATCATAGGCCTGGAACTATTATATGCCACTCGGCAATGTATGAAATGTTTACGTTAAGCAGAATTGTGAAAACCTTCTCAGATCCTTTCTCTAACAGGAAAGTCTATAGTGTTCTCCCATAGCCCACCCAACAAACAGCATAATAGTACTTAGCACTTAATGAGGGAATATGATAGCTATAGTGCCCAACAAACTATCTGCTGTTTGCAATTTCAGTACGATGGCCTCAATCTTGAGGAAAGAATGGCAAAATCTTTTTAAACTTGTTATTGCATGTATAACTTGGGTAAATACCAGAATAAGCAAAATAGAAATCAGTCATTCATTCCTCCCACATTTTGAACACTAGACACAATTTGGAATATGGAGTGCAAGGAATTACAAGAGTAAGCATTTCCACACAAGTATCCATGTTGCCAGAAACCTAGAGACAGATGGGTCTGAAAACCTAAATTAACCAGCAGAATGGGAAAGGGATAAGCAACCAGAACATTGAGGCTACAAACTTGATATAACAAAGGAGTGGAATTAGTTGAAGAAAGAAGGGTTAAACAGTATAAAAAGAATCCAGACCAGTGCAGAACTGATCTCATAAAATTAATTATTCAATATAGCAAGGATTCAGCTGAATAAACATTATAGGGTTATTCAGACATGGCTATTTTATACTTGAAGACAGATTTCCCCAAATTGGGTGTACTTCAGTGTGCAGACTTCAACGTCCAGAATTCCTTGAAGGTCACTGATACTAATGCGAATTCTGAGAGCTGAAGACTGGAGGTGGCCCAAACTGGTGAAATTGGCATTAAGACTGTTACTTCTACAAGTTGACTTGGACCACAGAAATGCTTGGAGTAGAGTAAACTCTACAAAATCAGATTAGAATTAAGCATGGCTTCCAAAAACATCTGTAAATATAGCCTAAACAGTGGTTTTCAAACTATGCTCTGGAGAAATGTAGGATTCTCTGGAAATTTATCAAGGGCTTCTCACTGAGAATAATCATAGAACAAGCCTAAGAAACTGTTCAAGTACTGCTATTAATATTTGTACAATGCCTAGTACAGGGAAAAACAGACTGTGTTGTCATGAAGGTCAGAATATATGTCAAAGTCTAATCTATATGAGGTTACTGTATCTTAAATCACACCTCTGATATCTTTTTGCTGTTTGCTGTATTTAGGGTATAAATACTTCTTTTTAAAAATTCAAGCTAGTTTACAATAAAATTCAAATAATTAAACAATTAAATAAAAATATATAACACATTAAAACATTACATATAATGTAAAATAAACAATATGATACAAAATTTTCTGCAACATGCAGTTCAATATATAAAACATTATGTAAAGTATTTCCTGAAGATTAAAAAAATGGGGAAGAGAAAAAAACTGGCTTAGGACAAGTAATGACTACTACCTGGATCTTCATTGAGAGATTTAGCTATTCTGCTGCCCTTGATGGAATTGTTTAACAGTGTGAGGGGTATTAAACCTGGGAGCCTAGTTTTAAAAATAGTCTACTTATAAGGGAGCAATTACTACTCTAATTATTTTATTGTAAAATTGACTGGATGAAGTCAATATTAGCTTTGCTGAAATAAGTCCACTTATCATATATTAAGATTTAATAATACCTCTCTCTCTCTCTCT